CGTAGCAAATACCCACTTATATCTAACTCTCTTCCTCTCTTCCTCTCTTCCTCTCTTCCTCTCTTCCTCTCTTCCTCTCTTCCTCTCTTCCTCTCTTCCTCTCTTCCTTTCTTCCTCTCTTCCTCTCTTCCTCTCTTCCTCTTTTCCTCTCTTCCTCTCTTCCTCCCTTCCATCCTCTCTTCCTTCATTCCCTTCCTTCCTTTGCTGCCTCATTATACGTGATTACCGCATGACTTTGGATGTAGACGATTCGTATTGAAGATTTAATTTTGCTCATCAATTTCACAAATGTATTTTTGACCATTCCAGATTGCAATTGTGTTACCAAACTTTTAGAGTCCGTTAGAAGCAGTGTAGTATCCTGGACAGAGGTATTATTTGACATCCAAAATAGTTTGTCTGGCTGAATTCTCATGATTGTTATTTGTCCACTGTTCTAATGCGTATGCATATTGAAGTTTATCAAGTGCTTCAACTGGTGATTCACTCTCATAGCTTATGATAATGTCGTCTACATATGAAAATGGATCAGTTCCTTCGTCTTTTGTGCATCCAATAATGTCAGCAGTATAGATATTGAATGACGCACAACTTAACGGTGAACCTTGTGACAGTCCTGAACTGACATTAAATGGATCCGATCTCCTGCTTCCAAACCTCATAGAGCATGTTCTCACGTCTAACATGGATAGAAAACATCTCACCATAACGTCCGATATACCATATGTGTTCATTTTATCTGCTAACGTCGGTATGTGTACTCTGTTGTATGCATTCTCAAAGCATTTTGTGTTTTGCAAACCTTTTTGTAACCTTTCCATTAATGCTCCGACATTAGAAGTAGTTGATCTTCGTGGCCTTGCTCCTCCAACACTTTTAGGCAAGCAATTTCTTTTTTCTAGATGTTCTACCATCCTTCTAGCAGCAATCTTTTCGCATAATTTGACTAATACATTAGATATGGTGATGATACGGTATCCTTTAAGAAGCCTGTGATCTTTATTTGGTTTCGGTAACACAGATAGGTTGAAGTCCCTCCAGTCAGCAGGAATTTCCCCTTTTTTCAGTGTAGTGTTGACAATTTCCAGTAGTTCAAGTAACAGTAGCTCATCATTTGCAATTGACTTTAGGTCTGAGTATAAGACTTTGTCTGGCCCTGGTGCTGTGTCTTTTGCGATTTGYATGATAGTGTTGTGTAATTCCGCAAGAGTCACTTTCGCCTCCATTTTCCAGACTTGTCCTCTGGGGATGATTCATCTCATTCCATTTATCTCTTAGTTGTTTTTCGGAGTCATGTTGYAATTGACCAAGATATCTGTTACGAAACGCTTTTCCTTTGTCTCATGTTGTGTAGTGCAAGCACCCAAAGTTTATCCTTTGTTCCTCTGTCTTTCACAAGCCTAACCCAGGAATTTCACGAATACTAGTTTCGCTTTATTACGCCTTTTCAATCCGTATTTTGTACGTTAACCTTTTCTGGCACTAACTCTGGCTTAACAAGTGTCAAATCAATGCAGGTATCTGSATCACCAGGTCTACCGGCCATCCTTGTTGGTCCATACGCATTTTAAAAGCAGTACACAATCAAGATTGGAGTATGTTTCATATGCTTTGCCACTGGATGGAAAAATGGATTTACTGTATCTCTAAAAGTGAGGCAAAGTGGGAGTAAACACGACATTTACTCGGTTTTGTTTAGCTTTGCTCAGAAGCAAATGCATTATTTGTTATGGGTTTTGCACATAAAGCAAAGCCGGTAAATGCCGCCTTTGCTTAAGGTTTTCTCGCTACCGCAAAAACAGTGCATTCCTTTACATTTGCGCTAGAATTACACATAACTAAATTTATGCGTAAAGGGCATATTTGCCACACAAGTAAATACGGTCAAAACCGTAGCAAAATCAAATTTTGAAACAAAGTAAAWYTATTTCAAACTCTATCTTTAGTCTTGATTTACTCACAAGGCAAAAGTGAATATTTTCGCATATTTGATCTATGAACAAATGTGAATGTTTGTTACACATTTGCAACGGAGTAGAACGTTGGTAAAACTTTATCTTTGGTAGTGATTTACACCCAAAGCATATATCGATATTTTCGCATATTTGATTCACCAACAAATGTGAATGTCTGTTACACATTTGCAACGGAGTAAAGAGGGGTAAACTTTATGTTTGGTTGCGATTTACTCCCTATGTAAATGTTGTGTAAAGATAATTTTTGCAAACTTTTGCTTTATTGTCGCAAACATCTATATTTACTCTTATTTGACCCTTTAACAAATTTAATGTTTCCTACATATTTGAAACTTAGCAAATCTGTGGTAAACTCTATTTGTACCTGATTTACCCCCGAAGTAAATAGTATGCAAACTTTAATTTTTACGTAGTTTCACGTTAGTATTGTCAAAAATTTATATTCCTTGCATTTGACTTTCCATCAAACATATAACTTTCTCTAAATGTTTGACACGGAATAAACAAAGTTGTAAACTCTATATTTCGACGCGATTCCCTCTTGGACGTGAGTAATACTAAAAGTGCCATTTTGTTAAGAAATTCATTTTTTTAAATTCATAATTCATCGTATTTGACTTTTTAAACAAATGTTAATTATTTGATATAATAAGCACAACTTCAGTAAATTCACAAAATGTTTAAATAGTTGATCATGCTTACACTGAAATAAAGTATCTGTGCTAAAACTCTGGTTTTATGGCAAACACTGGAGCGTCAATTGGGGCCTGTCTACGAGAAGGCGCTCCATTTCTTCTTTGTATACTCATACTCAGACTTTTCTGAGATTTTCTTCTTCGGCTCTTGCGATCTAGCGCCTTCATCACCTTGTTCAGCTCATCACTTCTCCAAGTGAGACTCTTTGATACGAACACCTTTCTTTTAACCACGTTCTCTTCATCATCCGATCCTGAACTTGAATCACTGACGTGATCATCAGAGGCAGACTCTTCGGACGACATAAAATCATTTGTCATCACCAAAGAGTACTTCTTCTTTTCTTCTTCGGTGATTGATGTTGATTGCTGCAACGCCTTCTTGCGACCAGCCC